TATATATATATATATATAACATACACACATATATATATATATAACCGTATAAAAAAAATTTTTTATAAAGGGAAAAGAATATATAATATAATCTGAGACCCGACAACAAGAAACGTATCGCGCACGCATGGGACACGAGGGTGGCGGCTGATCATGTCTCGCTCCGGAATTTCCCACACGGAATGCTCCATGGTCAAACGACCGACAAATGACATTATTTGTTCCCTTTTTTCGAAAACATCACTTGTTTGTCACACTTGCTCGAACGGAAATTCCGGAGCGAGACATCATCAGCCGCCACCCTCGTGTCCCATGCGTGCGCGATGCGTTTCTTCAAGAAAAAATTTTTTATAAAGGGAAAAGAATATATAATATAATCTGAGACCCGACAACAGTTACGTAAAACTCATTGCCAGGTCACGCACTGAACTTTGCTAAATTATTGTAAACGGAAAATAAAAGTATTTTATCGAAAAAAAAATTATTTTTTAATTTTAATTTCACGATTATAAAGAAATTCGAGATTCACAGGAAATTGCGGCTGAACCTGAGGCACTTGAGATTCACAGGAAATTTCCTGAACCTCCTCAAGTGCCTCACATGCAGCCGCAATTTCCTGAACCTCGAATTTCTTTATAATCGTAAAATTAAAAATAATTTTCTCTTCGATAAAATACTTTTATTTTCCGTTTACAATAATTTAGCAAAGTTCAGTGCGTGAACTGGCAATGAATTTTACGTAACTGTTGTCGGGTCTCAGATTATATCATATATTCTTTTCCCTTTATAAAAAATTTTTCCTGAAGAAACGCATCGCGCACGTATGGGACACGAGGGTGGCGGCTGATGTTTAAGTTCCTTACATAACGCAGTGAATTTTGGGCCGCGTTTATTGAACACACAGCGTACTAAAAAAAAAGTAAAAAGTATAATATTTTTGCTTATTTTCTATATTAATATATGTAGAAAATAATTTTTTTTACATTGGCGGTCTAATGTCTTTATATCATTAGCACACAGTTAATTGTTAATAATTAAATAATTGATTCTAATTACAAATAATATTATTTTCGCTCATCGGGATCAGCCGCACGTCGTCCCGGAATTTCCCGGTGATCGAAGATCGAACGCAATCGAATTTTACTTTCTATTCGTGCTTAATTCCAATTAAGATCTTTCTTTGGCAGCTGCACTATTCTGCTACAATTTCCGCGCTCGAGATGAAATAGATAAACGGAAAGCGTGCTTCTCATTGGTCTCTCTAGTTAGTAGTTCAACATCCACTTTCCAGAGGCGCTGAAACCAGCTCATCCACCGCCCTCGCAGGTAAATCGCGGGAGAATTCTCGAGGATTCAATTCGTGTGCGAGCTACAGACCAAGGTGGTCGAGTGTTCTACTCAGTTCTACTTACGCTTTAATATTGCATTATTCGACTAAATTGAAAAGATTGGCAAGAAAGAAGAAGAAGAATAAGGGGACGTCGACAACGACGAGAAATTTCTCGAGAGACGTTAATAGCGAGCGTTAGCGAGAATAGCGATGGAAAAGAAGACGGAGATCAACGAGCTCGATAGCAAGATGATCAAGGGCATGGAGGACGTGATGAAGATAAATGAGAAGCTGAAAAACAGCACGCCGCCGGACAACAAGACTGAGACTGACTACAAGAAGAAATTGCTTCAGTTTCCGATGTCCCCGTTGGAACCGATGTCGTCCAAGTTCAATGCGTTAAAGGAAAAGTACAAGGTGAGCACCTCTTGCCGAGAGCATCTCTCTCTCTCTCTCTCTCTCCCCCAATTTTAATTTAGCGGAATTGCGATTTCGTTAATTACTCCTGCTCGATTCCAACGCGTGACGCGCTCAGTGAGAACGCACCCTTAGGCGACGCCAATGGTGGGAAACACGTGTGATCATCCATATATATATATATTAATAATCTATATACCTATATATGATGGAAACACGTGTGATCACCCCGGGGAGGATTAATTATATAATTGAGAGTACCCGTGGTACTCGGAGCCTAAGGAATCTAGAGGGGAAGGAAAAGAAAGAAACTAAATTCGAGGCAATGGCAATGACTCGAGACAGTGTCACGCGTGACACTGTCTCGAGTTCGTCATTGTCTCTTTAGTTTTTCTTTTCCTTCCCCTCTGGATTCCTTAGGCTTCGAGTACCATGGGTCTCTTAAGTTGTTTTCAGAACATCTTCGAATCGCGCTACATAATCGTATGTTCTTCTTCGTGTGCCATAGGCCTAGTTTACATTGTTAAATTAATTGATAGGAGTATCAGGTTGGCGCGGACTAAATTTAAGTACTAAATTTAAGTACTAAATTTGGTACTTAGTACACGTATCAAGTGCTCGGTGTAAACTAGGCCATAAGCTTGTCAGTACATAGGCAATCTATTTTACATATACATTACATATATGAATTTTTCGGCTTACAGCAGGCTGCAAATATGGGGACTGATCAAAGGTTACAAACTGTATACGAGTGTGTAAAACCTATTGTTACCAGCTTAGTCCGATTAAAAGGAGACTTGGCTACATTGGACTATGAATTATATCTGTAAGTATGATTGAGATAAAGTTTATTTTTATGCGCGTAAAATAATTATTAACCTTTAAATTTGTATTGGATTTTTACAGGCAAAATAAAGACACATTGAAAAATATGTCATTGCATAAGAAAATTAACGATGCGGAATTAAAGGCTTTAGATGCCCACCAACAACTTTTAGTCTTGCTCATGGTTATGGAGGAGTAAGTATTTCTTATATCTTATATCAGTTATTCTTATATCAGTTTTAACTGTGTTTCACTATAATAACAAACTTTGTTACTTTGTTTTTACAGCAATGTGCCTCTGTCTCAACTACCGCCCGAACCGCTAGCCCAGGCAAATCCAAAAATTTAACTGTGTAAAAAATATCTATGTATGTGTATACTAATAATTTTATTAATAAAATTATTAGTATACACACAGATTTTTGTATTTTTGTACTAAGGAGGTTCAAGTGATACTCTAGTATATCAATAAATCTAGTATATCAATAAATAGTTTATTGTAGTATAATTGTATAATAAATAGTTTATATAACCCCACTTATCGGAGACTGAAACCCCACTTGGCGAAGATTCGAACCGGATACTTTTATTGGGAATGCTTTGTAGTCGCTTTTGGGATGAACCGCGTCGTTCGTGTCGCATCTAGCTATTCGTGCACCATGAAAGCCGAGGATGAGCAACATGGCGGTTGCACACGCCAGTGCCCAGTACGCCACACACCGCACATGAAAGCGGCGGAAGCGGCGCTAGCCAACCATAGCCAACTGCACGGTGCACACAGCTCCATGGAATCCGGAAGATGTTCCCCATCTGTCTATCTCTCTCTCCTTCTCTCCCGCCTCTCTTCCTTCCCACCCCCTGTCACGCTTTTCCCCACGGGACATAACGATTAGGCGCATAGCGAATATACATCGATCCTGATTTCTAGAACGGGGTCACCACGCAGGGGGCAACGATCCAGCGCGGCGCGGCGTCCGCGAAAAACGATTCGCGCGCGAAGCGAGCGGAGCGAGTTCGATTGTCCGTCCCGTCCGTTCGTTGGTTGACGGTCGCGTCGTCGTGCGCGCCTCCTCGTCCGCCGTTGTCGTCAGTGCCGTGTCAGTCGTGCGTGTTGTGTTTACAAGCGCGAGGATGATCACCTCGCGCTGGTAAAGTCTACTCTCGCGACAACGGGCGTCCCGCGCGTCGTGGACGCGTCCACGCTTCACCGCTGTCACGCCTGTCACTCTCGTCTCCTCGTTTTCCCTCGTCCGGGTGTTGCTTGTTCTCTCCGCCCTCCCCCCCTTCTGTCTCTGTGTGCGGTGTGTGCGCGCGTATATCTCTCTCTCTCTCGCACTCTCCGTCTTGTTCTTTCGCGGGTCGAGAATGACGGGCCGCACCGCTCGTCCCCGCTGGCGGCGGTGCGTCGTTTTCGTCATCATCAACGTCTGCCGCGTCGACGACGCGGAGTGAACCCGTCGCGAGAGCGTCCCTCCTCGTGCCACCACCTCGTTCGGGATTCAGGCCAGAGCCTGCCTGGGAAGCGCAAAAGATGGATGCGACGATAGAGCGGGAGTGCAGCGCGTTGGGCGGCTTGTTTCAGCAGATCGTCACTGACATGAAGGTGAGGAAACGTTTCCGTTTTATTTGGGCTCGACCGACCCTTCGCAACTTCGCTCCGCGCACACCTCTCGCGTTAGGCCGTCCGTCGGAACGATGTTTACCCTGGTCCCTTTTGTAGAGTTTTCATGATTCCTGAGGATTAAGTTTGAGGACGTTTACGTTTAGCCTGCTGTGATTTCTTCTCTTTCCTGTTGCCTGAAAATCCCGATTGCGTTATTCTTACGGATTTCTCTGTGCAATAATAGGTATCGGTTCTTTTTCAAGATTTTTGCATTCCTGGAAATTCCCCTTTCTTTTGCTTTGGAAGGAATATTTGGGATATTTTGAAATATATGTTTACAATACAAATGCAGTTTATAAGATAGATAAAATGTATTGAATCATATGAGTAAGAATAGAGTAATTGCTGGGAGAAGTAAAATCAAAAGATGTTTTTCTTTCAAATGAGGAAGAGAGTTAAATAATAGTATCTATATTTTATATATATATTTTTTGTTTTTAGGCAAAGCATTCTTGTTTTGTAGTTCAAAGCATTTTCTTACAAATCATCACTATTGTCAAGACAGGCTGATTTGCTAATTGATACTCTATTGTTTATAGCTTTTTCTATAATTTCTTGTGAAAGCAAGTGCTTTGACTTGAAGCAAAATACTCTAATTGTCATTCTAATATTATTTAAAATGTTATTAAATAGCTTTGAGAAAACAGGAGCAGACACATTTATTCCTATGAGTTAGTTTCTCTTATGAATCATAACATTGTTAGGAAATATGTTCTAGTATGTGATCTAGTATTACATATATATATATATAGCTGAACAAATTATATGGGCGTGTGTGATTACAGCATCTGTTACCAGCATATCAGTCTAGATTACTGTTTGACTAACGCAATGAAAACTAATATTAGCTATGCTGATCATTAAATAGAATTAAAACTCTTGCATGCATTATAATACTCTTGTTTCTTTTTTATAGAATGGAACACCACTTTGGGAAGATTTGATTTCGAAAGCTACAAAGTTACACGCGAGTTTGAGGTGAAGAGATTTTCTATATAATTTCAAATATGTTATTATATTTTATGTATGTAATAATTATGCAAGTTCAAATGGAAAATTTCTGTGTACCAAAGATTTTTCAAAAGCATATTTTTGTTGTACATTTATTACATACTTTAGACATATTTTCAACATTAAGAAAGGTTCTACACATTTGTTTTGTGTTGCACATTTTTGATAAAAAGATAGAGATTGAAATTACATGATTCAAGGAATTCTAGAAATATTTATCTTTAACGTGAGATATGTATTGCAGAGCTGCCATCCTGGCTATTTCCGTATATCTTGAGGCTTTTCAGAAAATAGCGGATGCTGCGACTAACGCTAGAGGTAAGTTCCAATTGATTAATTGAAAATAAAATAAAGAAACTTTCAGTGTCTGTAATTTAGACATTAAAATTGTTAAATGTCTATATTGAATACATTTAAATAGACAAAAATAAAATAAGAAAATATATTGAAATGACTGTTATTAAGGTGCAACTAAGGAAATCGGGACGGCACTGACACGAATATGTTTGAGACATAAAGCGGTAGAAACTCGTATGAAGTCATTTACCAGGTATGTTAAAAATGTCCCGCGTACAGCTTAATTAAGTTTTTTTTTAAATTTCCATTCAGTTAATTTCCGAACATTCTTTGCACTTATATTTACTGTTTGCTTCTTTTAAGCGCCATTATGGACTGTTTGGTGCTGCCTTTACAAGAGAAATTGGAAGATTGGAAGAAGTCTTTGATCAATTTAGACAAAGAACATGCCAAAGGTTGACGATTGTTACAGTACTCTGATAAGCCACGTATATTTTGAAGAAGCCTTCAGTCTTCTGTAATCCGATATCCCGCTATTTTTAGAATTCAAAAAGGCAAGGGCGGAGCTGAAGAAACGCTCCACCGATACGCTACGTCTGCAGAAGAAGAAAGCACGAAAGGTACAAGTTCACTTACACGTACAAGGACAGTCTCAGAGCCACGGGACGTGTTCCGATGTCGAGCTCAATAGGATGCTAGAGTCATCGGCGGCGGTTGTCCAGGAGAAAAGACTGAGTTTAGAGGAAACGGAACGTAAAGCCGTCCGTGCGGCCCTTCTCGAGGAGAGGGGCAGATTTTGTCTCCTCGCCCGATTCCTGAAACCCGTGCTCGTTAGTAGTAGACATTCTTAAAACTAAACACATATATTCATATTCACATTCGTTAATCGACGTACAATGGCGATGATCTAACACATCATGCATAATCAACTGTTTAGGACGAGGAGATAGCGATGTTGGTGGAATTGACGCATCTGCAAGAGGTCTCCGATCAATTGCAAAAGCACGCCGCGTCGCCGCATCACTTACCGCCTGCATCCGAGCAGGTAATAACGGACATAAAAGGTTGCGACGTTACTCAGTGGTCATTGGCTACGCCGCCGTCGAGCCCGTCGTTGTCTCTCGGATCGAGGAAGAGTTCTATGTGTTCGATCAGTTCTCTAACTAGTAGCAGTAGTGGATCTTGTAAAAGCCATCCGAGCCCGTCCGGACACCCGTGGCACAGATCGCTTTCTCAGGTAATTAACCCGCATCGGCGATATCTTTCATTTCTTCTATCTTTTCCTCTTTTCACCTAGAGTTTTTTTATTCTCTCCACGGACTGATCCGTTAGACGTTTCTTTTTTATGTCGCATGACACGTGTCAGCACCACCGTTAGTGCATCAGCTGCAATGCACACCTAGTAGTAACACGATCATAGATCTCTTACAGCACGAACTAATTGCTACGTTTTTTTTTTGCCCGAGCTTTTTATTGTATGTGGTAGTCGATGTTGTACTCGTTATAGCAAGTTGGTGTCAGGCCCGCCAGCATCAGCGGCATCGCGTCGCTGCGCCACTTGACCGGTGGCAGTTCCCGCGACTCCGGTTTCACGTCACAGGACACGTTGTACAACCAACCGATTTCCGAGCATCAGGTAAGGTCGTTTAGCGATTAGCGAAATTACACGGTGAAAATAGTCTTCTCAGGGACAGGCGATACGTGCGCAGCGTGAGTCGTCTCGTTTCAACGAGCTCTCTTTGAAAGAACGTTCAGTTTTCGAAGTAGTCTAGAATTAAAGATCGATTTTATAAGTTTGAAAAACCAAAAATTCACGTTTAAATCACAACGGCACAATGTAGAAGATTCAAAGTGTGAGACCCAAGTTTCCATCGCCTAGTGACCATGCTGTTAGATCTGCTTACGTTTCCCAGTTTTTAACGAATTCTGTAGTTCAACTTTTTAAGAATGCATTTTTATTTTGTCGTTTATCCTCTATTCTGTATTGTTCGACGGTCGAAGCTAAAGAGGCGGCTCGTGTTTTTAGGTGTCGAATGTGTCTTCTCTAAGTAATCAAAGTACCGGTTGCACTGTAACGCGACCCGTGACAACTTCTACTTGGCCTGATTTACAGGAAACGTCCGTTCAGTACGACCGGCAAAACCCGGGTGCGGTGAACGAACGGCCACATACCATTTCCTCCGGTAAGCGGTATTTTTACACTTGTACAGTTGGGGACAATGAGGTTGCGATACTTTTTTTTTAGTGAGTTTTATGAACGCGTGGTTTTTAACATTTTAATAATGTTTCTCAAGTAATACTAAATAAATGATATAATTTGATGTTGGTATTAACATTTGGTACAATATCATTTTAATTATATGTAACATGTTTGTGTGAGTTCACGCATTTGTAAATTTACTGAGAAAAAAAGTGTCGCAATCTCATCGTCCACGACTGTATGTTCGTCACGGTAATCCGATTCGCGAACTCCGATTCAGTCACGTTTATTATTTTTTTATATCTATTTTAGCGTACGAAAAGGGGCATCAGAGACCGGCGCTCAGCGTCTACACATTCCAAGCTCCGGACCGCGACGGTAGCGGCGGTTGCTGCCACAGTCAGCCTGCCTCTCCGGTTTCCTCTTCCTCCTCATGTTCTTCCTCGAATCAACAGCTGTCCAGGGTGCAGCTCCGTAGAAATAACAGCGGCAGTCGTCCACCTATACCGAATAGGTGTTCTAGTTTGGAACGGCCGACGATTCCGTTGAAAAACGAGCCGCCTGGGAGTCCTCGAAGCAAGCCGAAGTTACCGCTTCCGGCTCATTTGGCGAAAGGTTTGTTTTGACATCGATACGTAAGCCATATGAATCGACGTTTCGACGTGATATTTATCGTTATAACGATCCTGTAGAATTGGCGAGCCATCAGCTTCAGCAGCCAATGTACGTAAACATGCACGAGTTGGCGAATCTAGCTGCCAGTCGTGCTCAAGAGATGCAACTTCCGCTGCCTCCCCCTCCGGCTCCGTTAGCAGCACCAGGAACCGACAAGGTACATTAAGCGACAAAGTATACAAAGACGAACAATATTTGAAAATAAACACTTTTATCGTTGCTTATGTTCCGTTTAATCGTGCAGACCACCGACGTCCCGGAGAAAGACGCCGGCAGTCAGACGTCCGAGTCCAGTTTGGAGTCCAGCAGCGGATACGGAAGCCAAAACACTTTGCCGCATTCTCATTCGCTTCAAAATCAAAACGAGAACACGTGGAACGTGCCTGGCGCCGCGGCCACGTTGATGACGCGCAGAGGGTCGGCGCAGCAGGTGAGCAGACCGCCGCCGCCGACGAGACGTACGTCCACCGTCATCGCCGCACCCCCGACTTCGTCCGTTAATGAAGATCGGAGCGAGAACGTTTGCGAGGAGACCGAGAACCTTCCTCCGCCGCCTCCGTTCCTTCTCGAGAGCTCCTCGCCCAACGTCAGCCCTCTGCCGCAGAGGTAAAAATCGACCTTGCTCTAGTTTTTTTATTTTAGCTACGATCAATTGCTCTTTAATTAAAGATTTCAATACGTTTTAATCTCTTTTCATATCTTTACGTAAGTCTACAAAGTTCTATTTAATGCTTCTTTTTTTGCGTAGATCCGTCTCGGTTTCCGAAACGGTGAGGACTCTGACCGAGCTCCGCCACACGCCAGCCAGTCCGTCGCTCTTACGAAAGGCTACCGGACAGCAGCAGAATCCTTCGGGCATTATTCCACATAACACCGTGCTACAGATAACTCGTTCATCGGTCGAACGTTCCTGCTCGGCTGCCCGTTCGGCGTCCCAGGAACGCGGATCTGTCGCGCAAACGGCCAACGTAGCCGGTGGTTCTACCGCCAGCCAAGCTACTGGTCAGGCTACGGGCCAAGGGCAGGGACCGGGCGGCGTGGGCCAGGGTTTCATGGCAGTGCTCAATGCTAAACTCATCGGTACCATAAGCAGCAGTGCCGCAGCGGGCGGGAACGCGAGCGGCAGCCCGAAGTCTCTCAGGAAGCAATCGCTCTCGGAGCAGCAACAGCAGCAGCAGCAGTCCAGCAAGAACGTGAAAACGGCAGCTTCCGGCTTTCTCGAGACGCTGAATGCTAAACTGGCGCAGCAACAACAGGCCCTGCAGCAGGCGGGGAACAACGCCACGAGCAGATCCGCGAGTATCAGGCGCATCATGGGTAATCGCGTGCCGATCATGGACCCCCTGCAGATGAGAGACTCCCTCATGGATCAGATCAGACGCGGTACTCCGCTGAGGAAGACCAGCGGCCCGATCAACGATCGTTCAGCGCCCAAGATCTACTGAGTAATCCAGCAGCGACCTTCGCGTAAGTCCGTAATAACAACGTCGCGCGTTGCTTCACGAGCAACGTGCGGTGCTCATTCTAATAACGTAATTGACGCGCGAGATACGATGAGAGCCAGTCGGATAGAAACCAAGCATCTTCCGATTCTTCGTCTACATACCTTCGCGCATCAGTTTCGAATTACGAATTGCGTAAGCGTACCGAGGCCGCCGAGTTGCGTTTTATTGCGTCGCTGTAATTTAGCCCGTCCCCACTGAGAAATCTCCCCTGACAACACGCAAGCTCCATATTAAATCGATATATGATTTATTGTACAATAACAAGGGCGCGTTATTATCGAAGGCAAACGCGCAATTAAGTAAGAATTGATCCGGGGGGTAATTTTGCGTAGGTTTAAACGGCGTTATATATAGCGATTATATTGTAGTGTAATAATCCAAAAAAAAAAGAATGCAGCATGTAGGAAGATTTTTATAATGCGTATTAGTGTTTAATAAAGGAAAACTGATTTGATTAGGGAATTGTCTCGTAAGATCCGTACCGATACAACGACAATACTCCAGTACAACTTGTGTCTTATAGTTCTATATTTTTTCTGCTTAACACAGCTTGACACGAAACGATTTTCTTATTGATCTATTATCGCTACTGCTTAGTATGTAAACGAATGATACGAATGGGGATCCCTAGCGATCCCGCGGGAAAGTCATACATAATTTAATATCGAGCTTGTGTATTCGAGTCGTGAAACTTGTAAATGCATATCCACGTAAGATGTTTAAGGTCTTACACATATTTTACAAGTGTTTTCATTCTTTTTTTTTATAGGAAAGGCGCGAGTTTGTTTTGCTAGTTTCTCTTTTAGTTTTCTCTTTTCGTTTTTTTTTTTAGTAATAATATAATATTTATTTATACTTTAGCTCGTTTTTGTTTAGTATTTCCACGCTTAACTTCGTCGGGATGGCCGTTTTTCCCGGTAGTGTATTCTCCGCCGTCGAGGTGTAGCTCTCAGTTATCGAATCGGTGGTACATCTACTAATAGTGTATACTACACGACATCTCTCTCAATGTCGATAAATGTTAATAAGCGTATGTGTCGCGCCTTCGCGAAGGTGATGTATTTTACGGTCGTCATCGCTTGCAAGCTACATTCACTGCGTCTCTTGGCGAGTTCAAAGGAAAAGAAAAAAAAGGAAACGTCCCCCTTCCCTGCCCCGCTCGATTCCCGGGCGAACGTCCCGAGATCCGAGTATTTGCTCCGTTATCGAATGTTAGAGATCACGTCGTTAGATTTTTTTCTTCTTTACACTGTATCCCCATCCTCTCATCTCGTTTGCGTTTTACTCATCGCTCTCGCCAGTGCATGCTCGCCGCAAGTATACACACTGCCTATACTCCTGTCTTGGACATCCGCAGTCGAAAACACGTGTTTCAGTCATCTAGCGCGAGATATAGACGGCGAATACCGATTATTACTGCCAATTACATTTCATCCTTTCATTCCTTTACGTAGTTAAGTTCTCAATGGTTACTGTAGCGAGCCAGCGCGATGAATAGTGTATAGTAAGCAATAGTTATATATGTTTATTTATTTCAAGCATTTAACTGTATACAGCGTGAATAATAAAATAATAATACTTCCAGAGATTCTCTCTATCCATTTGATATTTAATAGTGCTTGTCCTTCGAAAAGTGCGAGATCTGATGTTGTACGAAACGGAGGGTATAGATTCGATTAAAGTATCGTTTCGCTGATGTAGAGCAAAGTCATATCAACGTTAAATGTCAAATGGACAACATGATCACGGATTAAATCTCGTATTAAATAAATAATCGTACACATACACATTAGAACGAGACACTATTTATGGTAGCGCGAGAATTCGCGGCGGGTGATTGCTCATTTTTATTAATTATTACAATACGATCAAACATGTGGGCAACAAATAAAGATACAACACACTTTCGTTTGAAACTCAAAGTATTTTCATACTCAATTCTATCATTCTTGTACGCGTAAAAAATGATTCAAATCGAAATCTGTCAAATTTTTCTTTGTTTAGAAAAAGTTTTTCTTAAAAACATCGTTTTTTGAACCTTGCACAGCCAAGTCTCTAAGAAAATATATATAATTTCCAAATATTTAGAAAAGCTAGAAAAGTTAATTTTGCGAAAAAATTTTTTGTGTATACCCACCTTAAAGTATAGTGCTTTAATCGATAAATCGGTGATGGAAAATACATTAGAGATATATTTTATGGATGCATTAAATTACCCAATTATTATGTCATAAATCGCTGTGCTTTATTTACAATTTATTTAACTCGTTAATTATCTGCTATTCACAATTACGAGAATTAAACGATAACGTAATATAATCGATAAAACGCAACTTTCGCTGTAAAAATGACACTTTATTTTATTCTATAGGTATTATGTTTTCTCATCGCACACACTTAATGTAGAATGTGCGATGTCGAGATATGTGTACGGTGGGAGATGCAGAAGAGTGATTTGCGATGAAAGTTCAGAGAGAGTGTATATTCGATTATACAATACCCTGTGTGTTAAATTTACCTTCAAATTACAGACGTGCTAAGATCAACGATTCAAATTACAACGACAAATTTATTCGATTTATTCGAAATATCTTATTCTGATTTAAGTGGGCGTATATTTAATTTTCGTACGCCTGAAAGAGCGATCAAATTCTTTTCTCGATTCGTTGAGTTTCGCTGATTGCGATGCATGACGTGTTCCATTATTTCTATATTTATATTTAGTATATTCTCGACGGAAACGCCGAAGATCAGTCAGCTATAGGGAGATTAAGAAATGTGCTATTATCTCGATTCGCACACGTTGCTCGAGCGTCCGCTATCTCACGTGGAACACCGCCAATCGGCGGTAATCCGTATATAGAAGCCTGTTCGTCTAAGACGTATTGATAATGCGAGCGCTTTTCAAAGTTTTCGCCGTCCTCGAAGTGCATCACTAGTGCTAGACTTCCAGCTATATAACATAATTCAAATTATAAATAATTATAAATAATAGTGGATATATATTAACGATAGTGTATATACATATATTGTTCTTTACTATACTTACGATTATCTAAAGGCGGGCAGGAACAATTGGGACTTAAGATGAATGGGATCGTCGAATGCAGACGCGTGATTTCGCGTGACGATTGCATATCTAAGAGAAGTCTCGCCTTACGTAATCGTCTAATCGCCGCCTTTGCAACGCTACTGGCGGAGCAATAAAGATCGTTAATATTCGACGGTAATTCATCGGCGCATACGGGGCAAGACTCGTTCGAACTAAGAGACGCTGAAATAAAAAAAAAACATTCAATTTGATATATATAACGAGAAAGATAGATTTTGCCAATTAATTTCTAATTTAAAAGAAGCAGCAAATTGAAAAACATATGGGCTATACTGCATGTCTAAGGTCCAATTTTTTTGAATGAAAATTCTGTGTTTTTCAATCTTATGTCATAATTTTCACGCCTATTTACATACATAACGTTTCCGTGTTGCTCAGCTCCACTTCCAGTTTCTGATCGGTTTCATTGGCCGCATTCGACAGTGGATTGCCGTCGAAATGTACGATGTCGGGTTTCACGGAAACCGGCACGGGGCCCTCGACGCCCTCGGGAGTCGCCAGTTCGTGGTCGACCACGACGAAGAGCGGGTTCCCGTCGAAATCCGTCGCGAAAGGATCTTGATCCGGTCGGTTAAAAGTTGCGAACGGTGCCTCCATATCCTCGAGATCTATGTTAGGTGGCCCGAGCCTGTCGAACACCGGATTCAGATTGATGTCCGGCTCGTCCGGCGTTTGACCGCTTCCAGCTTCTCTTTGCGGTACTGAGAAATTCGATAAAATTCAGAAAATTGCGAAGACAGCGTTGCGGCGCAAGAAAAAGAAAAAGAGATTTATCTCGAGAAAATAACGAGAATAATTTAGCCAAAAATTTCGAGTTTATATTCACACGCTTATGTTGATTTGTTAAAGTATGCTTCTCCTTAGACTTGCGCACTGGAAGCGTACTTTAATACATTTCCATCAAATCGCGTAAATGTATAGATAGAAGATTTCGATGTAAATCGTTCTCATTACTCTCGAGCTGTGTACGTAATGTTCGTTAACTATCCATATTACCGGACGCGATGCCGTTATTGTTGGCTGCATGAACGTTCGCAACGGTATCGATATCGTCGCTATTTACTTTGAGATTGGAATTTTTTACCGGAGGGTTATCCTCGCTTCTAGACTGTACCGATTTCTCGTTTGTTACTTTGTCACGGGGTTTCTTGGCCAGACCAGTTTGCGGCTCTAGTCGAGATAGAACAGGATTCTGAGCCGCGTTACCTATAATCTGTTCTATAGTCCCGTTTCGATCGTTCGGGACTTCGATCGCCGGGACTTTTTTGACCTTATTCTCCCCTTTTTCCACGATATTTTTCTTCGCGGTGTCCTTGCCTATTTCCTGTACTTCTATCGGCACCGGATTGGGCACCTCCACTTCTTCACTCGGATTGGCACTGCTGCAAGTCGCCGCGAAACTATAGCTCTGAAAAAAAAAATATATATATATATGTAATAAAAATTACTTATTTTTATACATTTTATTTTGTAACATAACGGATTATGAAACAATATACTCGTAAACTTACGCTAGATATCGACAACTCTTGTTGATAATAATCATAAAGTTTCACATTCGCTGGTTCCAGCCTGTCCACGATATTTTCTCTGGTCACCGTGAACGATATACAGGTCTTTTGATTCATTAACTTGTCGAAGTAAATGGTGACGATACCGCGATCGTCCTCGAAACGTTTCACTTCTGCAAATATATTCGCGTGTCGGACACAAGTTAGGAATGAATTTTATCTTATAGTGTCTCTTAACATATTCTTGCATGATTGCACCACTCACTTGTGGCCGGATCCTCCAGTAGAGAATGAAGACTCGTACGGTCCGGGACGTATCCGCTTACCATACCGATCTCTAGCAATGCCATGTTACTTTCCCCATCTGCCATCTTATATCGCGTGCAAATTGTAATTTTTTGCCCCGAGCATTCGTCCAGCCACATCGAGGGCGAAGCGGCGTTAACCGAGAGATCGAAGGCTTCGGAGCCGGTCACGTGTGCAACGTTGTACTTCATATTGGTCTGAAAAGTTTCACGTTTCCATGAAATATTTATATTTTCAAGGCACTACTCCTCGCTAATACGAATAATTTTTGGTTTAGTGTGAATATCGCGTATGTCTTAATTATGATATCCTACGAAAAATGCGAAGCTACCTGTACTAAAACGCAGCCTTCACCCTCGGCGAAGATCTCGACTGCCGTCGGTAGCACGGGCAGATGGATCTGCGTGAGGACCATGCGATTGTCGTTATGCATTCTGTACACCTGGTCCACCTCGCCGGCGGTCACGAGCACCGAGAGGTCCGTGGTGTTGCTCGACATCACGGCGGCGTACTTGGTGAGCGCTTCCAGCCCGAGCACGGTGTCCTGCGTGGACGTGAAGCCGCCCGCGGCGTTACGCTGCTTCGACATCCAGCGGACTGCCTTCAACGCCATGACCATGTTCATCTCGCCGCCTAACTTCACCAGCGACAGCACGGCGTACGCCGTCATTTCGATGCTCAGTCCTAGCGACGGTTTGTGCGTGTCCTCCCACCAGAGAAGATCCTGGCAAACGAAAATTTACTATGAAGACCACGTCGATTGAGATTCGCTTTATACGCTCTCGTTAACGTTAAAATTACAGCTGATTTTGTGAAAATATTCGTACATTGTTCCGCGTCGCACGTCTCATAAGCGATACCATGCTGTCGTTCGCTTTCGGATGTTCCAGTAACGTTAAGGCGTAGGTAGATAAAGCTGCCGTATACATGGTACCGCCGTCGTTCTCCATTCCCTTCTCCAGGCAATGCAGAGCGTTATTAATGAGCGACGCTGTTAACGGCACGCCCGATTCTAAGAGCGAGATCAGTATGTAAGCCGTTAATGCCGAGGAAGAAGTGTCGTCATCTTGCAAACCGCCCTGCGAACATATTCGAGAGTATTTTAAGATTTTTAAGTGTCACTTCTTCTCTTCGGGAAAGAATTGAATGCCGCGTAAGTAATACCTTCATTTCCTTGTGGAATACCCTGCCGACCACAGGGAAGCATCCATTCTCCAATTGCTTCTTCACCATCCATTTTACAGAAATCTTAAGATCCCGCTCGTCGATGTGAATTATATTTTTCGCTTGGGCGAAGGACTTGATCACGAATGCGGTGAGCCAAATCGAGCTACCGTCCTCCGAGCTTTCCGGACCGAATGCGGAGTACGAGCCGTCCGGATGTCTGTATATTAATTCGCGCTGGTATCCTGTGCCGTGCAAACACAAATGTATAAAATTTATCCTTAATCGCGAATTAAAATCGGATCGAGATCAAGCCGCGCACCTTTCTCCATATTTTTTATCGCTTTTGCTCTCAGTTCCGGATTGTCAATTCCAGTCGCGTCCAAATAGCCGATCACGTGGATGTTCGGAACGAAGAGAATCATATTTTGCTCGCCGCATCCCATCGGCAAGCGAACGAGCTTGTCTAGATTCTCGAGAGCCGGACCCAGGATGTCTCCTATCATGGACACGTGTGCTCTCGCGCTTTCGGGCACCAGATCGTTGGGTAGATCGAGAATCCACGATATGAAAGAATCGTCGCTGAAGTCCTTCGGACAGAGGAACAGGGATTTCGTCGTCTCTACGGGGAAGCCTTCCGGTAGCACCAGTATTGGCTTCACAATCACATCCCTGAGAAAGCGTACGAATTGTTAAATACTGTCGATACTAAATACGATTCTTGTTCCACAGTTTCTAATTTTTAGTATTTAAATGATTAAGAACTGTGTATTTAATGAAATCACATTTTTCTTAATTCAATCGAAAAGGGAGAAATTATACTCTTATCAAAAACTTATACTTTTTGAAAAGAAAGATATCTCGAATTTTTATACTCGTGGCGATTCGTATGTTTTTAAAATTTTTAAATATTCATTCAATTGCAAGCAGAGGAACGTTCGAGTTGATTCATTTACCGTGTATACACAAGTACTTCCGGGCCGCACGGTTCCGCATAATCCGAGTCGATCGAGGCGGAAACCGTGATGTTAACATCGCCGAGAACTCGCGGTCTGAGAATATATTCATGCACCACGCTGTCTCGTGGTTTTACGCAAAACGAAGCGGTTGCGTGCGACAGATGCAAGTCGAGCCCCGTTGCGTCTTCCAATTTGATCTTGACCTGCGAACGTCAAATCATCGATCAATTATAACATATCGACCGGTTACTGTAAATGCGCCGGTTACTTTCCGGTTACTTTCAATGTGCATCCAATATGATCTCTCAATTATTCAGTATTACTAATGTATATGTAATGTATGTAAAAGTATGTAAAAAGTATGTCTCAATTTAATTTTGTACAACTACGTTAATATTCGATTTGTATTTCGTCACATTTTTGTAATAATGTCTGTCTGAATTTTACGAAAATTTTATTTCACTTGAGGTGCTTAAGGGTAGAACGAGAGTGAAACGAATGTCGAAAACTTACCGGCAAACTGTGTTGCATGTAATTAAATAAGGAAACTTTCATGCGCAACATTTCTCCACGTTTCACGCTGTACGGTAAGCTGTAGTCGAGGAAAAACGGTTGGAATCCTGTGATGGTCGTCGGCGGTGCTATTCCAAGACCGTGCGTAGGTGAAATACACGCGGTGTACCCGATCCAATCGGTGATGGTGTGAGGTAGGGTACGTTCTACCGTCACTTTGCCTTCTTTTCTGTAAAAGAGTAAAAAGAAAAGAGAACGTACTAAGACGATATGAATCAAATAAAGCTCTCGAAGACGCTTTCTTATTGTACTTGTACATTAAAAAGCGCAAAAATAACTTGCTAATGTAGCCGCTGTACATTTAAAAAAACGAGAAAATGAAATAAAATTTAAAAATTAGTAGGAGAGAATGAAGTTGCCTTTGATGAAATGCATTCTATGAATTTAAATATATATGTAGGTACCCTGTCGGCACTAATTCCCACAGCCACGTTTCGGGGAAGTAAGATCTGAGGGGAGGTTGATCGGACGCTTGATCCACATATCCCTGCTCGGGTCCCACATTTAATAACGGATACGCCATGGGCAATGTCTTCGCCATTTTAAACATTCCTGCCGAAATAATACATCGGTATGATTTATTTTATTTATACTATTTTATTTATATTTTATTTATATTATTTATTAGCTAAAAATATAGCGAAAGAGGAGAGAACATCTGTTTATCTATCTATCTATCTATCTATTTACGAACAGGCGATTTTTTTCTGAACACGCACCAGCGTCCGTTTCCATTTCCGAGGTTGCCGAGAGAAAAGGAATTGGCAGCTGTACCTTGCTTCTGCTTCTGGACCTACCCCTACCCCTGCGACCGCGAGGAGGACAGGGCCGCGTTTCGAGTACGAGATCGCTCATCACGACAGCACCGAAGTCCTGAAATACGAGGAAAGATCCAATGGACATATAATTACCCTTCTTACAATTTTAGAATTTAATTACATTTCCAGAAAGTTCTCACATCGAACGCCTGTATGGCATCTACGTAATTCACAAGCCCGCCGTTGTACACCGTTCTTCTTCTTCTTTTACGCGCCCACACGGGTGATTCTTCAAAAGCGGGCATTGGCAAATGATCGAATTCCGTGTTGGTTGTCTCTTCGGTCGTTGAAACTGCGAAGAATTTATATGCCGAATCGCATGAACTGTTTTACGTTAAGTGGGTATCGTATAATAACTTTACATTAACTCAAGTGAGATATTAAATCGCACAAGCACTTTTATTTTGTAACAATAGGTGATCTTAATTAAGAATAGAAAATCGTTCCGAGTATTCCAATGAAATTCCGAGTATTATGTCTCAAGAATAAGTTTATCAAATCATTGCAGCGCGGTTTTGAGTAACGCACATTAAAAGACCCAACAAAAATATCTTGAAAGAAACAAAGGATTAATGTAGCGTTATATTTGACTATTTGTATCTCGACACCTTGTATACCTTTGCAATGAGTCCACGACCAAATAGGACGCGACTCCGGCTCGATATGGAATCTCTTTAGCTGCGCGAAAGTCTCGTCAGCGTCGATCAGGTTCACTTTGGTGCCCGCCAAGAAACGAGTCGACTTGTCGACCGCTGAGATACCGCAGAGAGACCAGGGCGCGGCTTCCACGTGGTACTGTGTGGCCGTCCCCGGGGTCTGAGCGTCGGTGTGCCAGGCGGTCTTCACTTTATTCTCGAAGCAGTGCCCCACCTTGATGGAATACGTGGTAGCGACGATCTCGCCGTCCGAACGAACGTAGTATAGCAATAATTCGGAGACAGGTGCCATAGACGGGGTGATCTTGACGCTGAGAGGGAATCTTGAGAAACAAGCGATCGAACGTGAGACACCTTGAAATTGATCTTAACTCTTTCTTTAAATAAAGACAAGATAGTTTGGCGCATCCAAAAATTTTTCGAAGATGCATTTCATACTCGTGGGGTATATTTACAAAAATGGAACACATTACCTGTGAGCAATTGTACTCTGATCGGTCTTATTTCCTGACGACTCGATGGCGCCTAACAGGTTCCGGAACTCCGAATAATTCAAGACCGTGTCTCTGGTCGGTCGGTGTTTCACGTGACCGTATATTAACAGGTCCCCCTTGGAATTGATCGAATAATGGAAGGAAATGGATTCGTTGGTCTTACTTTTCGCCGGTACCGTGTACATAACGTTGAACGAGTACTTTTCGCCGCAAACGATCGGTTGGTAACCCCGAGCTATCGCCAAATAGCTATCCGACGGTGAAAACCAAGGATTCACTTCGATATGCGCTGACGGTTGATCCATGAAGACCTAATTGCGATTTACAATAAATTACAAAAGTGCGCGCGGACGACTTCATGCTTATATATTATAAGCAGTATTTTAAATTACTCAAAGATTGTATCTAAATTCTTTTCTTGCAGAATAATTCATTTTCAAATTAATCAAATGAATTATTAAAAAATAATCTGATATAAAAAGAATATTCTGTATATACACTCAGAAAATCTTTTCTTAAATAAAATATGAATAACGGCTGTTCGACGTACTCGCCAACGCGTGTCCGGCGAATAGTATTTCGTGGGATAGTCGATACCGGTCGCGACGAAGCTCAGCAGGACGATGTTCCTGTGCGGCGGCGGTACGACAAAGTCGACGAAACCGTCCGACGAGGATGTGAAGTTGCGGCATTCGACCACTACACGAAGCCACTCGTCCTTACCGCGCACTCGCACGCAGAGCTGGATCTTCTCGTGCGGCGCCGGGGTGTTGTCGTGCCGCGAGACACGTAACTGTAAAGAGAGATTTATTTTGCATTCCGCGTATGCGAGAAATTAGAACGAAATTATCGAACGTCTCGCGATATCTCTACCTTTCCGTGATACGGCAAGCCCAGTTTAAAGTATTTCGGCGTGTACGGTAGGAACTCCAGCTTCAGAACCTGATGCACGACCACGGTCCGACTGATCGTAGTCTCGACTATGCTGGTACCGGTCTCGGTGAAGTTAGCTATGAGGACGATGTTGTTCGGTGCCACTTTCCATTGTGCGAGACCGAGCACCGCGCCCGACAGCACAAATTCGGTGCAGCCATCCGGCGAATCCAGCTGCAACGAATTAAACGGCTAATTTTTTTAATCTGTCGCGAGATACCGCGAATCTCGCGACGTGTGTCGTATATTATGTTTATAAAATATTAAACTTGATTTTTATAAATCAGATACGATTGGAATCGCTAAAACAGTATAATTTTTTTAAGAATAAAGATTATAATGGCCAACGATCGAAGGGACCACTGACCTCCGTTTCGTAATGTATTTCCGGGAGATTGGGCTTCCGTCTCCATGTCGGTATTTGAGGCGTCGACTTTAAGAGTAATTTACCTTTGACCGGCTTGCCGTAGCTGTATCTGTAATAACGTGATAACGTAAGATGACTTCGCGTGGACACGGTAAACGCTTCGATTCGTTACCGATTATCGAAACGAGCATATTTACTTTGCGCATATATTCCACGTAACATTCTCCGCGTCCGCGAGAATGTATCCCGGTGAAGTAATGGTCACTTGGAATCTCGGTAGAACGTATTTCTTCACCTCGAACACGGTCGTGTGGATCAGTTGCGGTTGCGATCTTCTCTTTTCCACTTTAATTTTCCAAGTACCCTGCGGCACAAACAGCATTCTTATCATTCTGTCGTTATCACGTTCTCGTTAAAGACCTCGTTTAAGATCATATTACCGGGGTTGGTTCCGGAGATAGAGCGAATTTTATTTGCGCCATTCCGTTTTCGGTACTGACGTTGGCCCATTGCGCCACTCGCACCTCGGATGGATTCTCGATCCATACTTTTGGTATCTAGAAAGAGAGACAAACTCGATATTATATTAAATAAGAGCTCTACTTTTCTTTTTAAAACCGATTCTATTATTAGAACTCTATATGAATAAAAATTGTCTCCCTTTATAAACTATATTATATTATTACGCATATATATGAACAAAAATTATATCCCTTTATATATATATATATATATATATATATTATTATTATTATTATTACTTTACAACTAACGAGATAGTTATTCTAGCGTTAATACTTATAATATATTTTATATTAACGAGCAACAAACCGTTTTCTTCCAGGGCTTTAAATCGTGCTTGAGCGTAAGGATTCTAATGTTCACATCTTGCCCGGGTTTGTAGACCGGCTTATCTGTCTCGACGAACGTGATTAGGGAATCGTGCTCAATATAAACTTCCTTTTCGTTTTCCACGACGTAGTCAGGATATTTGTCGAACTTTATCTTCAATCGTAATCGTCCATTGAAGTATTTCGTGAAGGGTACCGCCAGTTCCAGACATGTCTCTATCCCTGTAAACGTTAACGAAACCAATGTCCAAATTTACTTACTCCTATATACTTTTCAAGCACAAAACATTTGAGTAAAAAACAGGAAGAATACAACATTTAATGATTGCAAATTCGCGAACGAATCGCTAATATAGCATAATAAGAATAATAGCGTGCGCAATTGCGTAAGTTGATTCGCTTAATCATTGCGCCGACAGTCGCGGCGTTGAGTTACATGTCAACGCAATTCGAACTATATTCGAATTAAAATAATCAAGTTTAAAGGAGAATATTTCCCTTTATTTAGGGGATATTTTTAAAACAAAATAAAAATATTTTATTTTCAATATCTAATATAGAGGATTAAATAAATATATCTCTGTGCACAGATATGCGGAAATGATTTGAGCTACCTTGCTGAGCGCAAGTATGAGTATCGAAAGATGTATATATTGAAAAACAAAATGAAGACACTTATTAAGCATTTTAGATCACTGATTATCGCATAGAGTCTTCGCTCGCGTAATTTACTTCGTCATAGTTTACTACACCACGCATTTCCTTTTTAGCGATTTATCCACAAACTTTTCCGCGCGTCTGCGGCATCAATCGGCACATAAACGATAAACTCGGACCTTGATCAAGCCCCGTACTTGTTGTTCATCCCGTGCATAACAATGCAGATGGGTTTCCCATGTGATCCCGAGCGATTGCTTATTTCCCCTTCGGAGAGAGACTCGGCTCATTTAGCTCCCCCGCAGGAAGCGGCGACAATTTCAATTTATGATTTGTTTAAAGCGCCCGATTCGAGCTGCGAGGGAAGAAGGAGGAAAGACCGGGACGCGGCGCGTATTCAGGGGGGCGTAGCCGGGCCCGAATGTAAATTCACTGTTAAACTTTCCTACTCGTGAAATGTAAACTTTTTTCAGTTCTCCATCGTTCTTTCGAAAGATCGGACATTCATATCCGGCGTCGCGAGCTTTCTTTTCTTTGCCGTCTCTCTCTCTCTCTCTCTCTCTCTCTCTCTCTCATTGCTACGTCCCTGAATTCGACGTAGGAATCCGCGCGGTATTTTCAACGATTATGCGTTATCGCGCGTCGCGTGCGCGATAACACATCGGGTCGTATTCGGATACCCGCGATTATCCTCGGACGTAAATTCGCGCGACCGAGACTCTGTACCTGAAGAGTAGAAGATAAGTCCAGGGATATTGTAGGACATCAAAAACGCAAAAAAGCTCGATAAATAATGTAAAAAATAATCTTTATCTCTATAACAAATTTTAAAACCGAGGTATTCAAATTTGTAAGGCACTCGGGATATCTAAAGAGGAAGACCGTATATATTCGAATAATCACTATGTTTCGAAAATATAAGTTTATCTAGTCTAGTGTCGTCAACGGCATATTGGGATCGACTGCCGAATTCCTCGCCATTAAGTCATCGCTGTATCGCGCGTGTTTACATCGTCGAATTTCGGCTACACGCTTCGTTCTTCAATAAATTATACATCATACTTTCACATTTCGCCAATTCTGGATTATTCTATGAGAACTCAATACCACTTCAATATACCGAAAATTGTCGAATATTTGGAAATCGAACGGGTTATTTGTCGATTGCGGAATCCGAGGCAGAAAGATGCACTTGCCTGTTTTGACGACGCCGCTCGTCCTGGTCAGTACCTCGTCTTCCGCGCTCGCATCCGCCGGAGATAGCAACTCCAGGATAACGTGCGCCGGCGGCTCGAGATTGTGCAGCGACAAACAGCCGCTCTCGGTTTCGCCGGCCAAGAATCTCCTCGGCGCGGTGAATACATATCCTCTAAAAGACAACAAGCCGGTTAAACCTACACGGGCGCGAGAAAACGTAATAAATAAATGTTTAAAAAATTTCGTGGGGGAAACTTTGAAATAATTTCTTTTGCAAAGCCGAATATTATAACTGTCTTATAAATCACGAAAAAAATGTAATGTTAGTAATTGTACTGACCAAAATTACTCGAGAAACTCATCTTCACGACATTTACAAAAAGCATAAAAGATATGTTCTAAAGTCCACTTTACTTAAAATAACTACTTCACTTTAATTCAATGCCAGATATTTTTAAAAAATATCAGAATCTCGTAATTTGTTATGTGCACCGTCTTTAGAAGATCTTTCAGATTTTCCTAGTTCCTTAACGGCGTCTTATATTCTCGAGTTTATCACAAGGAAAAATCGATGTGGCTATTATTAAATTATTGCGCGTAACGAGTGTTATTCTCGGTCAGTCAGCGATAACGGAGAATCTGCGGAGAGAATCCGATATCCGCGAACACGTAGTCGACAATCGAGAGAAAGGGTTGCCCAACGCGTTATTTTCGCGAAAAATGAAATGCCAAATTGGGAGGAGGGAGGGGGGGGGTAGGGGTGGTCTTTACCGATTGGTAGTCGCGCCGCTTTCCGCCCCGCAGGGCAGGCAGAACAGGCAGAGAAATGCACAAGACACGATTAGCTTAAACATCATCCCGTCTCGGGAATTCACGCCGGTACGACGCGCGTACTCGATTTTCGAGAGAATCGTCAGATCGTCACGGGCATAATTAACGAGAGGCGCACGCTGCGACGCGCTTCCTCCTCCTTTCCGGCGCGAGAGGAGCGACGTTGAGAGGAGCGGCAGGGGGATCGACAGCCGACAGAGAGGCTGCGGATCGACTGAAGGCGCGACTGTTCGTGCCGGCTACTTTTATCATTAACCCCTTGAGCTCGTGCAAGGAGAGGAGAGAAGGGTTACGAGTGGCGGATTAATTCGCGAGAACCCCCCGTCCACGTCGCGTCGGCCACCGACCGTGCGATGCTCACAATCAGCGCCCTTTTCTACGTCGCCCGGCTTCGTCGGAATTGGCCTTTCGGGAATTGCTCATTGACGATGCCACGAGCGCTTCTTCCTTCACACCCCGCGATCCTCCCTCGCTCCATATATTGCCAAACTTCGTTCCTCCTGATCTCCGCCAGATCTTTGCGAAAAAGTTATGTCCGACGCTTCGATCGAGAATTTGTTCTTGACGTCTCAGAACGATCTATTATAAGAAGCGCGTCTGCTGAAAAAAAATTACATTAGAAAATAATGAAAAAAAAACAAATATATCCCAAAAAAGTTGTTAAGACATCTGCTCTTTTACTTTCCAACAATATCTAAAAAATATCCAATCTACGAACAACTTCCTTTAACTTCTAGTTTCTAGGAGCTAGGAGGATAATCAGCCGTGATTAATTATCAGCTCGTTTACATCCGTATAACAATGGCAATAGATACGTCTCCGAAAAGATCCTCACAAACGTATATTCAATAAATTCAATAATAAAGACGTATTTGTCCCCCGGCCTTGGAATTGTGTTTTGCCAAGTCTAACGATTATCATGTGTATCACGTGAAGTGGAATTCCCGCCAAGTGTTATTCCAGATTTTCTAATGATTTTCTCTGTCAGACGTAACTCTCGTAACTCTCGATAACCCTCGCCGTATCACCAAGGCGCGCCGCGTTCGTGTCCGCGGGTTATCATACGCGCGTTCGCGTTTGCACGCGATCCTGGCTCTCTCCCCAATTAAGGAGAACAGAAAAATCAAAATTATATCAATTTGACGTCATATTGACCGAATTGACATATTTTTTAATTTACGTCGCGATTAAAATCACGATTTGACTTTAAAAAATAACTTATATTGTACGTTTTTTTTATAATGTCGATCTTTTTTAAAAAAATGTGTACGTTGCTCGGTTGTATGGCAAATATTTATTTTTCTTTATATTTAATTATAGACATACTTTCTATATAATTAAATATAACCAATTATAATTTATTTTATATAATGAAAAATTTCTCGTAGACAAAACATAAAAAATTTATGCGATTTGATGTCAAATGATAACAAACTAAAATTTGATTATATTTATCATCATTTTGATATTATTTTGACCTTTCTGTTCTCCTTGATCTCGTTCCTGGTACCGCTCAATTGCGCGTTTATTGGGAAATTAGACGGAAGTCGGAGGCGGAAAATTTGCGACGCTTGAATGACAGCGCACGTCTTGTTTCACATAAACAGATCATCGAGTTACAAACGAATCGAGAAACCTGTCATTAAGATCAATAATGCAATTCCAAAGGCATGTTCTTTTAAGAAATTGCATAAAACTGCAAGTACATTTGTGTCAATACGTGCGTATTTACGTACGTACGAACGTACGACGGGCAAAAGAAAGAAAAATGTGTTAGCATCACTATATATTAAATCCGCGCTGTCGAAGTGCAGATCATAGAGAAATATTTATCTGCGCTATATATACGGTACGATGATGATATATATATATGTCGCATGCGCGATATGAGAAAGAAACGTGAGGCATGCAGCGTGATTGTCTTTACTTGAAGTACTTATATATATATATATATAAAACTATAAACGTCATGTCGACATATATAGATACATGTGATAAACAACCCTTATCTATTTATTATCGTTTTAACATATTTTTGGACAATAATCTGTATCTTTGGCTGTGTTCCAAAATTCACTGCCACTGTCGAAAATTTAGAGATTTACACGTAACGTAAGCTGTAGAGTTTTCAGTGCTGGCAGTGCATTTAGGAACACAGCTTTCAGTATACATTTTGCTTGGATGTGGATACATTAATTCGCGTTGCGCCTTTCGCGACGCGATTCAAATGCACGAATTGCCCGCCAGACTGGGAACGCGTAGTAGCGTACGGATGGCTCGACGGTAACGAGGAACGTCTACATGCAACCGTGATTGATGCATCGACGGTTGTTTACAATACGCGCATTTCGCCCCGGATGCATTGCGCGTGTAGTTAGTCTTCAATATATATTTTCAAAAGATTTCGGCCTCGGTTCGAATTTGTACTTTATCGATATCGAATCGGTCTTAATCGATTTCGTCGATCGCACCTCGATCTCGATCGATGTATCTCGTGCTGAGGTTGGCAGTACGGCCAGTACATGTTCCGCGTTCCGCTCGTAGTGATGAAACGCAAGAATGTCGCGGGAACGACGCGATCAGCGACTACTTAATTTTCCATTGGTAAAGTTTCTGTAATTAATCCCGCTGTCTCGCGATCGTGCGGTGTAGATTCGAACGAGAACCGCCATCCGTCGCTCGAGACCGCGCCTCGCGAGATTCCCTCGATCGACGAGCCGTTGCGCGAGCGGTTTGTTGACAAAAGTCAGCGGCGCGCGATCGCATTTCCCGGCGTAAGTATATCGCGTTTTACGGAGAAACGTATACCCGTTTCTATACCTATACGACTCGTACGTTACGTTAATTCATATACGCGTTTCCCATATTTTCGATACGGAACAACGCGAAATCGTCCGCTCCAAACGCGAGCGTCATTTCGCGAGCGGAAAAATAGCGAAAGGTGCACATGTATAGGTGCAGGTCGAGCGGCGGCCGCGGTGGCGTCGGTATGAAATTGGCCGCGCGTCGCCGAATTTTCAGTTCCGCCCGTTCGGGTCTCATGATTATTATGGCGTCGCGACGACGAGCGGATCCGCGAGCCGAGCGATATGCGCGTCTTCTCGTGCTTCTCGCGCGTCGTCCTACTAGCTCGTCCTACCATTGTGAGTCGCACGTTGCGTCCGCGAATAAGTATATCGTCGTAATTAACCGCGAGCGACAGTGCGGGTGATCGCTCGGCGAGTGTCGTGTGTAAACACCGCGCGGTCGCCGTGTTCCGACGATCGACGCGCGAGATCGTAATGACATTCGCGCGCGAGTGGATATCAAGTGGAATATTGTGCGGATGTCGGACGAAGAATCGAAAGGAAGGATCAGAGAAGGAGGAGGTCCGGAGGGGCGCCGGCGGCAAATCATAACCCTGGGTGAGTGATTTATCACACATATATATGTATATTTTGCCGTATTATTCGAATTCGCGATTGATTCGACCGTTTCCTGTTTGCGCGAGAGAATTCAGAGAAAGAGATTTTATTTTATTTATAATTTTGTAAGATCCTCTTCCGGGAGATAAATTATTTTAGCAAATAATCGCGTGACAGTTATTTTTATTTCACCATATTTGAGTTATTTTTTAAATTATTGAATACCTCGAGCGCGCTGCTGTAATCTTCGGACGTGTTTCCTGAAAAGTCTATTTTATCGACTTCGTGCAAAGTCGCTACTGTCAAACGATACGAAAGAATGTGATTCCGTAGTTCCCGATTTCTCCGAGAGAGATCTCAGCGATGCACTTTACCGAGCCTCCACCGCGCAACGAGTTATACGAGTATCGCTAAATATAATCAAATTTACGATTACCGCTACCCGATTTGATCGATGACACTACGCGAGTCGCGAATCAGGAAACGGTGCGAATTAGATTAATTTCCCGTAGAAGAAATTAAGTTACGAATAATATTATAAAGTGTCATTTTAATTAGGAAAATTTCGAATTTTATTTTCATCCTGCATTTCGATATTTCGTATTTTTTTCATTATATTGTACATATAATATTATTCTATGTACAATATATGGGTATATATTTATTGAAAATATAACTGCAATTGATTCTTTTTATCGATTTTATTTGAACTGTTTCTAATTTCTACTCGAGATATTTAGAATTTGCTTATTCGCGTTAAACAACCCTCCTGATCAGACCGGCGCGTTTAGCGAAAACCACAGCGTCGCTCTTCGACAGATATCGGATCACGGTCGGTCGATCCACTTCGCGTATTTTTCACGATTGTTACGGTCGAAAAGTGGATCACGCGCGCGAACAATTGCGAGTGCCTCTCGTGAAGCGTCGAGATCGTTTATGTCGTGCATCGCTGTTGCAATCGTTACGTGCCGATATCACGGTTTCGCTTCGATTGCCGCCGGGCTCAGTCGACTTGTTAATTCGGCAACGCGTCACATCTGGCTCAATATAGACGATGAATATAGCATTACATTTTTTTTCTGAAATTTTATTATTCTTTTATGTCTTCATATCTGGAGATAATGTATAACTTTCTCAAATATTTCTGTGTGTTTCTTATCTGAATGCTAATTTAGGATTATTTCAACGATATTCAAAGTACACTCGTTCACAATTTGTAATCATAAGATATAATCGATAATTTTGTAATTATATAAGATAATCAATACAGTTTTGTTGACTCGTTAATACATGATATAATTATAAGGAAAAAAAATCGCAAATTTGCGATTTCATCTAATTGCATTAATTGTGTACCTACACGGAGAGAATTTTTTTTTTAATTTACCCTGAAAATCATTTTAATTGTGGGACAATATAGTATTTAGGCAAATTTTACTGTGCACTACAATAAATTTTACAGTAGTAAAATACAGTAAAATTTATTGTAGTGTACAATAAAATTTGCCTATAAATACTATATTGTCCCACAATTAACATGATTTTCAGGGTAAATTAAAAAAAAAATTTTCTCCGTAGTACTGTCAATGCGAAATTAACATCTGATCCTATTATCGAATTTGATCGGCAAAAATTACTGGCTATCCCGAGAATTATCTTTTCCATCTACTTCGACGTTATCATTTACTCGCAAGCATCGTTAACCCTGGCGCGCTGTTGCGTAAAACGTTTCCGAGAAAACCGGCATTGAACCGTCTGCGTAAAGAAACGCGGCGCGAGGAGTCCGCGAGCGGCCGAATCCTCATCGAGGTT